TGATCCAGAATTGTCCCAGGAATTGAAAAATATTAAAATATACAGGGTGTTCCATTTTAAAATTTAAAACTGAAGCCATTTCCGGTGAAACCGGAATAAGGTGACCAGGGAGCGGAAAATATTCGAAAACTTTCCTCTTCACATACCATATACCCATTATAATTTTAATTTTGATACACCCAATATTCTAGAAGTTATGACTTGTCTGATAGATTCGTTGACACCAGATATATAGCGAATATGTGGACCACCATGTACAGTCGAAGGAAAGTTTATGACTCTTTGAAGAATTTCAGCACTTAACTTCCTCGTATGTTTCATTATATCATTACTTGTTTCCTCTAAAAGGTGCCTGAATAAGAGCCTAAAGATTTCGAACCATTCCCAAACGTCATTACAAGATTGGTCACAGTGAATCACGTGATATAATATGGACGCATGCGCATTCGCTCGTAGAAAAACAGAATTATTAACGACAGCATCGGGGTATCGAGATGACAGTGGGCTGACACCATGCTATTAATGGACCAGAATAAAACTCTCTGACCAAACTTAATCTCCACAATTTTATTGCGAAAAATAATAATCAAAAACGCGAATCTCAACATATCACGTAATGGAAATGGTTCGAAAGATTTAGGCACTTCTCTAAAAATGATCTAATCACACTAATTTTTTACTATCTGGTATAATGACCGAAGATTCGCCAATAAACACATTATCATGTTCTTTGATTCCACTTCATTTGAGAAAGTGTTTGGGATGACACGTTAAAAGGTCTCCATCATTCCTTTCTCGCACAAGTTTCTTGAAGACTTCTGGGTCTGGGGGTTGCTCGAAAGGATAGATTTTTTTTTCTACTCACATAACTAAAATGGCATTTAGCGTACGGATATGTACCACGCTAAATGATCGATTAATCACGGATTGACGATCTGTGATTTATTCAAAATATTAAACACGTTACCATGGCAACACGTTTTCTTAAACACATCACCATGGCAACACGAGTTCATTAAACACAGCTTCAGTAATTTGAGACATGTCTGGCCTGTCAATTGTATCAACTGTCACCTGTTACTTTCAAATTTCGTATCAGAATTATTTAAACAATATTCGTTTGTATCAGAATTCTTCATTAAAAATATATGCGAAATGTAGACGAAAGTGAAATCGAAGAGAATGTTCTGGTACTTGCATATCTCCAAGAAGTGTAAAAATGAAGCATCCATCTTTGAGAACAATTCATTTATTCTGCGCTAAGCATGACAATAAACGTGAAACAAAGGTTAGTAAGCAATGGACTGGATACATCTACAACCAATATCACTCATACGTGTCTCGCTGGTTGCATGCAGTTGCATGTATTATGTTCTCAATTCCCATTCCTTTCGAATTATTTTGTGGGTTAGCAGAAATAGCAGGTATGTTGATGTTATTTTCGGAGTTCGTAGAAAAAGCATGGTATGTAACGCGTTTATAAACTCTTCTAGACACTCGTTTATTAAACGCTCTGCTCCGCTCGTGCTTGAAATACTCGTTACTAAAAGGACGTTTATAACACTTGTTACATAATATACTATTAGAAATGGATATGGTATAAACATGGTATTTATCTGCATAAGGATTTTACCGTGATATTAAGATCATTATATGAGACAGTAGGCTCAGTTGGCGTCGGGACCTTTGATCTTTCTGTGGCAGTCGTTCATTTTCTGTGTGCGAATGTCAACTGAAGCGTGATATGTGTTCAAACTTAGAGAAGTGCCTAAATCTTTCGAATTATTCACACCACGTGATATGTCGAGATTCGTGTTATTTGATGCATATTTTTCGCAATAAAATTGTGGGGGTCGAGTTTGGTCATGGAGTTTTATTTTGGTCCACTAATAGCATGGCGTCAGCCCACTGTGATGATTTGTGTAGATTTAAGCTTTCAAGGATGTTTTTCCTTCCTCTCGAGACCCCGAGGGTCTCGTTAATAATTCTAACTATTCTAAGATTTACTACGAGCGAATGCGCGTCACGTGATTCACTGTCACTGTGACCAATCTGTCAATGGGGTTGGGGAATGGTTCGAAAGCTGTAGGCTCTCGTAATCTTAGTGTGGGCTGGTGTGGGTAACTTATCTCTGTCTTAGTCCACAAACCTACGAGAACGATTCAGGAATTTAGGCTGGACTTTCTCGTTTCGTTACGGAGATTTTGCGGTGGTGTTTTTGTCTTTCGATTTACATATGTATTAAAATGGTTATTTATGAACTGAGGACGAAACACTGCCTATTATAGCCAAGTCTGCAAATTGATATTCGAGGCTAGCCATCAGGCGAGACAATAGACAGTTTTTCGCCGAGGTGAATATTACATTATTTTGTCGAACACTTATATTCACATCACGGTCCTATTCACACGTGGAATCTATTGGATTTCGTGAATAATTAATTTGACAACAGCAAATGACAGTTGTTGTCAACTCACTCTCCGCGCGGACCAGGGTTGCCAATTCGATTTTTATTCCATCATTAAATACCTTTTCAAAAATTCAGTAGATTTCAATAGATCTGTTTAGGATCTATTTTATGATATAGGAATTCTAAGAAAGGATAATTAAATGAACCTATGACGTCAAAACATGATGTACTTTTAGTAAACATAAAAGTATCCTATTTCCAACAAAATAGAAACAAACAAAGCAAATAATCAAATTCCTAATTCTCAATTCAGAAATACTCTCGCGAATATAACAAAATACAGTTACATAGGTATTTATAAGATTTGAGTACATAGAAAACAGGAACGAATAGTAAAAATAAACAACAAAAATACGAAACGAATAAACTTAACGTAAGAAACAAACTGTTATAATAGAAGTATATAAAAAATTTAATTTGATCTGAACCAGATGAAGTATTGTCCTTTTTTTGACTCATACATATCATTAGTACCTATATGTAAATTTATTACTCATTTTGTAGAATTAATTTGAACAGACCTCTGCCGCAATAACATGCATGAAGATTAATGATAATATATAGGTAATTATAACAATAAATATATAATAATGAATAAGTACCAAGTTATTTTTCAGTAGATTATGAAATGTTTCAGTAGATCAGTATGCAAATCAGGAGATCTACTGAAAATTCAGTAGAACTGGCAACGATGCAGCGGACGAAGAGTATTTCTCTTCGGAAATAGTCGGTTTATCGTTCGGAAGTTAGAACTAGAAATGTGATTTTTTGTAGAGGTCGACGAAACATTATATTTACGATAATATGTGAAAACGTCAGACGGAGGTAACGAGAATGAATTTTCTAAAAAAAGAGTACATTTCTCGGAAGGGCCAGAACTTTGTGAGCTGTAGAGAGACTTTGCAGTGATATTTTCGTCTGACGATTTCAATTTGCGCTCAAAATGGCCTCTGTTGCAATAGTGGAAACCTCAGACGGAATTACGGAATTAAGAAAACAAAAAAAAATCTTTGTCGAATCCAACTCTAATAAAAATTTTTTCGAGTAAAATTCGACATAACCTCTTCCACTTTTTATCTCTCCTTTCGTTATCGATGAAAATTTGGACGCGAAATAAGAGGGTCGGATAGAACCCTATTCAAAATCCGGGGGTTGTGCTTCCCCATGGTAGGGGGTTGAGGAAAGCAGACCAGTCGTTCCCCCTCGAATCAGAAACAGTCGGTACATGGTAAACATGGTAAGGGTACTTTCGAGACGCCCTGTATATCATTTATGATTTTATAGTTTCATTAAAAAGCCCTCGGATCGTCCAAATAGCGCAGCTGCTCCATTAGTTGTGATAGAGTGATGTTCCACATATTGTTCTCGTCAGGGTATTGGCAATCTAACTGTATATTTTTTTGATCTGCCTCTGGTTTTTTAGTTTTTCATTTGGCACACGGTTTTTCATCTACCCTATTGCTATTGTACGCTACTGTATATTAGCGTGGACGCTCTGTCGATATCGCCGGATGTAGCTTCCGCTTCTGGTTAGCTTACTCATCGAAGACGGATGACCTTGAACGGCACCATTTTTGCTATTTTTGCATTTCTTACGGAGATTTACATGGGAAAAGTGGTCAAGAATATCTGGGACTCTTGCTGCACCTTTACTGAAGTGATGTTACGAAATATGTGAATTCAGTGCTTATTCCAGTTGATCTCGAGGAACACAAAGGCAATACTCAACGTTGAGGCATCTTAATATCGAGCACGCCAATTCACCTCAATCAGTGAAAAGGAATATTCTCAAATAAATTATAAACATAAAAATGAAATAATGGATATACATATCAAGAAATACATTGAGAATTCGTTATCGTCTCTATGTAAAAAAAAAAATCAATTCTTTCTCGGTTTATTCAACAGAAAACAACTTCTTTCCTATTTTCTATTTGCCACGTCGAACATTGAATTATATCTGTTGAACATCCAAAAAGAGATCAAGAAAAACTAAAATCCTTTGCCAGGAAAGTAGTTGTTTTCTGTTGAATATTCAGAATGATGTTATGCGCAAAAACATATTTTTATCTGAAGGAGAATGCAAAATCTCAACTTTGGAAGATTTAGTTCTCACATTCTTATCGTGTGTTCAATAAATATAATTCAATGTTCGTTATGACATATAGCCAGGAAAGTAGTTTTTTCTGTTGAATAAACCGAGAAAGAATTGATATTTTCATCACATAGAGAATGCGAATTCTCAATGTTCTTGATATGTAAATCCATTTTTTCATTTTTTATGTTCATAATTTATCTGAGAATATTTTTATAGACCTTCAATCGCATATTCGTGATTAGGTTTTCTCAATTTAGAATTTGTTTCTATGTCCTGTATGATGAATATTAATTTGTCATACATCCACCTCAATCAGGTTGGTTATGTCAGTTTAAAATGACACATTAAGAGATGTTAAACTTCTTCTTGGTTTTCACCCAAAAAATATAGTGCGTAATTATGGAAATTCATTAATAGTAAACATACATTATACATATAAGTATAAATTTATTCAAAATATTTGAAGGAAAACCTTAAATGGCACAAAATATTTCTAAAATTGGCACATGCCATATAACATATATAAAAATATTCATGATTTTCATCATCTGGAAACGAACGTCTTGTCATCACAAGCAGATGAAATAGTCATCAGGAACTGCTTGTATACATATTTTAAAAATCTCAAATCAAACTCAGTGACTGAAAAACAAAAAAAAAACTAATTCAAAATACCTGGAGGCTTGTTAGTGATTGACTTCTCAAACTCAACAGCATGATCTGTTGTTAGATAGCTGTGGACTCAAACTGTAAACTTCACAAGTCTAACGGAAAAATTAAATGCGTCACATGTTTCAACAATGGAATAAAGTGTTCCTAGCTTTGAAATAACTATTCTAGAACTATCATGAAACTGTGAAGTCATACATCAAATTTTAATGAGTTTGATTTGATAACTATATAAACTTTTTTTCAAACTGATCAAAATTGAAATATATAGTTTTATGCTTCATAAACTCTCACCTACTTCTTATAGAACATTATCACAAACCATGTGCGGACGTTCGATTCACTGGATATTTTCTTTATTATTGTCATGATGACTTTTAGGGTGGAATTTGTCTGTCAAAAATGTGGGGGATACCGGTTCGGTCACCTTACCAGAAGGTTGAATAGTTATTTCTTTATATTTCTTCACCGGCTGTGCTTTGTAAAGTGTCATCTTGCGTAGTCTAGCTCTCTCTTCCTCTTCTGCCTAAAAACGAAAGGGATGATGGAATAGATGTTTTCTCATTCAATGTTTTTTTTATATTCGGAATCCGGATCTGTTATCAAACAGCGCTCGACAAAATAGCAAGCGACAAAATAGCGGGGACAAAATAGCGCTCGGATTTTTCACAGAGGGTCAAAATCGCGCGGAATTAAACAGCACTGTGACTTTTGGGAATGCGACGAAATAGCGCCCAAAACATCAAAAGGAGCTGTCACGTGTCTCGGTCAGAAAAAGGTTGCGCTATTTTGATTTATGAAGGATACAGGTACTTTTTTGTGGAACTCACGATACCGCAAACGAAATTGTCATAAAACGCTTCGTTTTAGAGGTACAGAGCGAAATTGAGAATGTTGCATTTTGGGAACTCCCTTGTATCTTAGTTATCTTTCACCTTGTCGAGAAAGTAAAATTGCCTTTCACACGTTTTCACGTGGAATCCAGTGACGTAGTCAGACTTTCAAAATAAGTTATAATTATGCATATATTTTTTCATGTTCGAAACAATAATGCTTTGTGATTTCTATACACATATAATACTCATATTATATTCTGAGTATAAGCCATGAAATTAGATAGCTTCTAGGTTTTCAGCGGATTTTTCATCGATGGGCCTTTTATATATGTGGCAACATTGTCCATATCACAAATTTTCACATTCACCTTGTTGTTGACACAATTTTTCGTCACACACTAGTTCCACTTCTGACAACATTGAACATTCACAAATATTCAGCAATATTTATCGACTATAAAAGTTGTGGACCTTATCAGTAGGTGGCTGTGAAAAAAGCGAGTGTTTCAAGTTTTCAAGTTTTAAGTTTTCAAGTTTTTCAAGTTTATTCAAGTATTCCATGTACAAAAATATTACATTTTATTTTTTTTTTACAAAAATGGGGTTAGAGTTGCTCTCTGAGTACAACATACCTAGGCATAATAGCCTGTGTGTGGGTTGTATCCAGGGCTTCTCTAAAAACTATTTGTAACTGTACATGAACTAATGCTAGAAATTTAGGCGGGCAAAGATTTAAAAGAAGAAAGAAAAAAAAAAAGAAAAAAAAAATAAGTATAGAGACTTCACACGCATGTGTATTCAATATGTGTACATTAATTTTAACCAAAATTTTGTTGATATTTGATTTGACGGTTGGTAGAGGGCAGGGATAGCAGCAATGGTGGGATGAGCTTGTTTTTTTTTTTTTTTTTTTTTTTTTTTTGTAGTAACTATCGTTGTATTTTATAGAATATTTCCTTGTTTCTCAGGATATAGTTCTTTATTTCAGTTTTGAACTTATTTAGTGTGTTAATTTTTTTTAAATGTACCGGTATTGAATTGTAAAATTTAGGACCGAAGAATAGAAATGTTCTCTGGGTTATAGTTTTTTTAAATGTATGTATTGCTAATTCTTCATTTCTAGTTTGTCTAGTTGGTTGAACAGATCTGCTTCGAAGTGAGTTTTTAGTTGTGTATACTCGAATTATACATTGATGAGCATACAATAGACTGATTGGAAGTATTTTTGTTTCTTCATACAGTAATGTTGTGGAATACTGTTTCTTTTTTCTGAATATGATTTTTATGATGGAATTTTGTGTGATATGTAGAGGACGTAAGTTGTTAACAAAGGCTCCTCCCCATATTATAATACTGTATCTTAAAATCGATTCTACTAGGCAAGTATAAAGCATTAGCAGGTTTTTGCGTGAGAGGATATCTCTTAGTGTGTAAAATCTGTGCAGTAATGCTCTTAGTCGTTTATTAACATTCGAGATGTGCTCGGTCCAGCGAATGTGCTGATCCAGGGTCACTCCTAGGTATTTTATAGATGATACTTGATCTATTACTGGGCAGGTACATGTATTAGTTCCAGTGCAACTAGATTTGTGTAAGTTTATAAGATAATCTGTGGGGGGTTGCGTATTAACTGTAGGTGTAAAAGGTATGAATTTAGTTTTGATGACATTGAGGGTGAGTAGGTTATTATCCAGCCAAATTTGTAATTTTCTTAGATCTGCTTCTGCAATTGACTTTAATTCTTCCCAGCTTGTACCTGTGAGTATCAAGACTGTGTCATCAGCATAGCATATTATGTTGGACGATAAGTCTCGTATTTGAACTATATTATTCATATAAACCAAAAAAAGAAGTGGCCCCAGGATAGTCCCTTGTGGTACACCCATTTTGACAGTCAATTCTGAGCTCACTTCTTTTCCAATCTTTACTTTTTGTGGTCTATATTTCAAATAGTTCAGCATCAGGTCCAATGCGATGCCTCGAATTCCGTAGTTTTCTAATTTTTTTAAAAGGATATTATGTGAGACCGTATCAAAGGCCTTTGCAAGGTCAAGGAAAATAGCCAGACATTTTGATGATTCATCTAAAGCTTGCACTGTTTTTTCGAGAAAATCAGCTATGGCGTTTTCGGTACTAGATTGCTTAATGAAACCGTACTGTCTGTCTGTTATGATTTTGTGTATGTTAAAAAAATCAAGCAGTCTGGTTTTTAAAGCATGTTCAAATATTTTGGCAAAGTTATTGATGACAGAAATGGGTCTATAGTTGTTCATGAGAGTGGAGTCTCCTGTTTTAAAGATAGGGGTTACGATAGATTCTTTCCATTGTCGTGGTATTATGGATGTTTCGAAGCAGAGATTAATTATATGTTGTAGGGGTGTTGAAATGTGGTTGTGTATGTGTTTAATTGTTCTGGCTGTGATTCTATCGGTTCCAGGAGAGCTGTTATTTTTTAATTTTGATATTATGATAATTATTTCATTTTTTGTTACTGGTTTTAAGTATATTGATGAGTCATTCTTTTCAGATTTTAAAAAATTTGGTGGTAATTTCTTATGAGCTATTTTGTTTGACATTTTGTGTCCGAGTTCTGTGAAAAATGTATTAAATTTGTTTGCTTTAGTTACATTTTCTTTTATGGGCATATTTTGATCATCAATAATTATTGTATTTTCAATATGTTTATTTTTTTTATTTTTTCCAGATGCATCGTTTATTATATTCCAGAGTTTTTTGTAGTCCCCATTTGCCTCTTCAATTTTTTTCTGGTAGTATTCATTTTTTGTTTTTCTAATTAATTGATTAAGTCTATTTCTGTAGTTTTTATATTCGACCTCTAATTCTTGTGAGTATTTTTTAATTAACTGATGTTTAAGATGATCTCTTTGTTTGATTGATGTAATTATTCCATAGGTGATCCATGGTTTGATTTTTTTAATTTTATGTATTGGTACTTTTTTTATTTTAGTTGCATTTTTTATGTAAATATTGAGTTTGTCAAAGAAACAGTTGTACGCTTCTTGTGGATTGTTTTTATTTAAAATATTCTCCCAATTTTCGTTGCTCAATAAGTTATCCAATTTTTGTAGATTTAGGTGATGATTTTGTTGATGTTCATCTTCGTTTATAGTGTCAGTGCAAAGGGGTGCAGAAATGAAAATAAATGGGGTATAATGGTCAGTCATGTCTGTTTGGAATATAATTGGTTCGATTTCAGTAATTTTGTTTATTTCAGGAGTTGTTCTTATAAATATATGATCAATTATGGACGTGGTATCTTTTGTGACCCTCGTGGGTTTATTTATATAGGATATGAAGCCGTTTGCATTTAATTGATTTAAGTAGCTATTTGTATCACAACAGTCTTTTTTTCCTATATCAATGTTTATATCTCCTATGTATATTTCTAGTCCAACTTTTTCCAGATTATTTAGGTAGACTTCTAAATTTTCTATATACTCATTTTTATTTGTTGCTGGTGAACGGTATATTGCAGTTAGACCCACTTTTTTGTTTTCAGGAAAAATTTTCGAGAAAAACTCTATTCTAAGGAATTTATTATCCTTTATTTGTATTACCCGGTTGTTTACTGAAATACTGTTTTTAACGTATATTATTGTTCCATCGCATAAATTGTAAAATGACTCGTTATAGTAAATGTTGTAATTTGGAATTGTGAATTCATCTAGATTTTCAATTTTTCTCGTTTCAGATAGAACAATCACGTCTAGAAATGTTTTCGTCATTTCTATATAAGCCAATAATTCATTGAAATGTTTACGAAGACCTCTAATGTTGAAATGGGCTATCCCTATACCATTTTTGCTTTTCCCTGCACTTACCTGAATATAGTCTTGAAAATCATTCAAAATTTTGGTGTCGACTTCAACAGAATTATCTAGGACTTCTAAATATTCAATCATAAGCTTAAATATATCAGAGACTGGTTTTTGTGCATCCTGAAAAAATTAATAATAAAATAACCGAAAAAAAAGTTTGTATTTTGGCCGTAACACTTTGGAAAAGACAAATAGTACGATATGAAAGTGAAAAATATTTTGTGGAAGTTTATCTTATATGGAAACTTTGGAAAATTCTATTTTGTTTCTGATGCTGGTCACTTTATTGTTGTGATTAATGTAGATTTTCCCATTTTCAGTCCATACGTTCTTCAAACCAAATTTTTCAATGGAATCGTTTAGCAACTGGACTCTAGTTTTCGTCAGGTCCTCTCTTATCACGACTCCCGTTCCTTTCAGGAGTTTTTTCTTCGAGTAAACATTTTGTTTCAGATCAAGAGACCGTAGTTTTATGAAAATGCCTCTTGGTTTTTCATCGTTCTTTTTCCCAATTCGATAGCATAAATTGATGTCTTCATCTCTGAGGGTGATGGCCATTTTAGATTGAAACAGGTTTTTAATTTCATTTCTGGGCTCTTCTTGGCTTTCGTTCAAGTTAAAAACTCTCAAATTAGATAGCCTGGTGTTTTGATCCATGTAGTCTAGTTTCTCTTCATAAATATTCGTTTTCTTTACCACTTCTTTCATGAATGTTTCTTAATCTTTGTCACCTGAATATTGGTAAATGTTGAATGTTGGTGAAATTTGAACCAGTGTGTGATGAAACACTGTATCAGCAACAAGATAAATATGAAAATTCGTGATATGACAATGTTGCCACATATTTACAAGGCCCATCGATGAAATATCTACTCAAAACTAGAAATTTTCTGAATTCATGACTACTACTTGAAATTCCTCATAACATATTCTGCGAAACCACATGAATTTTTCAAATATGAAAAAATATACAGTGATAATTTAAAAAAATATAACTATGGGTTTTATCTGAATAATTACAGTTTATTCTGAAAATCTGACTACGCCACTGGATTCGACGTGAAAAAGTATATGAGAGACAGTTTATACTTTTTCGATAAGTTGAAAGATAGCTGAGATACAAGGGGGGTCCCAAAATGCAGCTTTTTCAATTTCGCCCTGTATCATGAGTTTTACAAAGAAGTAGCCAACGTTCACGAAAACCGCAAATCTCTATCTTCGAAAATAAGTGAAATATCCTGTAAGGACATCGAAAATGGGGCAGCCTGTACATCTCACTTCCACTTCCTGGAGACGTACGTAAAAATATTGCTTTATTCATTCATTTCAAAAAAAAACTCCTGAATACCGCACTATCCTTTGAGTGCCAAGCTATTCGACAAAATCAAAAAGGAACAGAGCCATTTTGGAATATTCACTACGATGGACCGCGTAGGATATAATATTTGCATTTGGAAAAGAGACTACAGGTACTAGTTTCCCAATACAGATGGAAACATCTCGTTAGGTCCACATTGCCATTTGCCCACATTTCAATTCACCCCCACTTTTCTCCAGGCCTACATTTTCATTCAGCCACAGTCTTCAAACACCTACGAATGATGCTATGTTGCCAAATCAGATCAATGTTGAGAAATATAGTTTCTAGGAAGCATTTTCATGTAGGCCGATTTAGGTTAGATTATATAGAAAAAGTAATATCCTTCCTTATGCAGGATGAATATTGCTGTCTTCAGAATTCAGAAAGCCATAAAGGGAAATGGTAGATATAGTTATAATAGAGACAAGCCATTGTGGGCCTATCGACACATTGTGTTGCACATACATTTGGCAACAGTGCATTCTTCGTGTATGTTCGGAGGCTGTAAGTTAGCGAAATGTGGGCCTATCGAAATGTGGTAGAATCGAAATGTGTGCGGATCGAAATTTTGGGCCCAACACAGCGCACCCATACAGATTTGGTAGCGTTCAAAGTTTCTTGCATTGTATTGAAAAGGAACATTCTCAGATATATTTATGAACACAAAAAGATGATATATAAAAAAAATTCTTGCATTGTATTACGTACATACAATTATTTTTCCTTCTAATTATGTTACTGCTCAATGATGTTCATCACATGAAGATATTTGAATTTGAATAAAGGTAAGATCTTGAAATACTGATGTTTCTTTTTCTCATAACTCTTATACTTATAGCATGCGCTATCAATATCAGTGCGACATTATTATCACTGGCTTTAACATGCGCATTTCTCGACGCGCTATTTCAACCAGCTTTATTTTGTCGCAGCGCTAATTTCTATTGACGCCTTTTGTTTTGTTTGTTCCGCGCTAGTTTGTCGCTCACTATTTTGTCTAGCGCTGCTCAATAACAGAGCCTCGGAATCCTATACGGGTATGTATGTATAGGTAATGATGCGAAAGTAGTTATGGAAATCCAAGAGAGAGTTTCACGATCATGGTCATACAGACCCACTGACATAAAACACTGTCTAGACCGCTAATGCCAAAAGAAAGAAGGTAAGCCCCCCAGGAGATCGAACTGATGAAAATGAATCTTGCGCATTTAGGAACTGTCATATATCTTACTCACTCCTACTCATGTTTCCAAACACCAAGAAACATGACCGTTGTCATGAACGATAGCTTACGTGTTCCTGCGCATTGAGCAGAAGAGTTTTCAGGCGGGCAATTTACAATACATTTTCTGGTTCTTGGGATATGACCACTAGCGGTCTATGTAGTGTGGAGACCCGAGTTTGATCGACCTTTTTAACGGTTTGGGTTTGAGCCGATTTATCAATCGCAAGTCATAACTGCAATCTATCTGACTGACAGCTAACGTTGACTAACGGTCAAAGTCATTGTTAAGGCACTCACTGTCCATCCACTGCAAGCTAAATAGCTCCGAGTTATGAGAATGTTGATAGCGGTGATTTTCAAAAGACCTGACGATAGTAGTTATGTCGGTGGTTTACTTGCTTTGGTGTTTATATCAATATTTATATTGTCAAAAAAGTCACGAGATTGATGTAAACCATGAAAATATGAGAATAGTAGCAGACTTTAGAAGAATCCTATTGATACAAAAACCTCGAGAAGAACTAATGCAGTGACTTGAACAAAAAAAAGCAACTTTCGAAGGCAACATACGCCCGAAAATTCGGCAGCGGACATTTGTTCAAAGACTCAACAAACTCTTGAATAAGGAACATGATTCCTGTGACAACATATGAATTAAACATAGTTCATATTATAAACAGTATTTGTTGCGTCCACATGCAATCGTGTATGTTTTTACTATTAATTACTATGTAGGATTTATTTGTTGTTAACAAGTCCTAAGTATTTATTTTCAAATTCAATGATTAATTTTTTTTTGTCATTGATCCAAAATTATTATTTAGTTTGCACACCGGATATTATCGCGATTGAGCCTTTCAGATTTCAATCGCGCCTAGCAAGAGAACAAAATACACCTGTTGCGCATAAAAAGACAATCAACTATACATCTCTCTCGGGAGTACGCGAGTCGCCGTAAGAAGTCATCATTCTTCAACAATAAACAGCAATTGATGAACCACTCCTGATAAATCAGAATAATGAAATGATATGTTTTACTGAAAGATGCCAATTGTGGAACAGATTGTATTATCATTGAGACAAAGGCTGAAAGCAGGTCATGAGTTAATTATAGAGTTGAGACTAAATTGTTGTACAAAGCTGTACACAATATGTAAACAATGGAAATTTTCCTGTAATGGATGTTTCAGTGGAAAATTTCATTTCAGCATTTCAAAGTACAAACCAAAACTAGTCACCAATTCAATGCAACCAAATGCGATTCTACTAACATATCCATTCTGTGTTTTTGTCAGACGAAGCAAAAATGTTTGTGATACATTTACCACATGAAATTTTTGGCAATGACATTTCGAAATAAACTATACCTTCCGATCTAGAGGGTTCATTTGAGTATTTTCAAAACAATAGACGAGAAGATTGGAAAAAAATTAACATAAGAAAATTGTTGCATGCAAGTTTTCGGATGTCTGCAGAAGGCATACACACACTTGCACATTTTTCATTGGTGAATCACCCTGTATGTTTGTTTCGTAATGGGATCCTGTAATCGGTTGTTCCGAGCACCCTGTATTTTCTGATGCAGCAGGAAAAAATTATCAAAAATCATTTCAAACGATTCTTCAAATTTTGGGTTCCATTCAAAAATTACTGAGCTATAGGGGGAGGGGGACATTTATGGTGAATCACCCTACATACATACCAAGCTGATATAAGCCTGTCAATTAGAGGGCAGCGATTCAAAGATATGAAATAATTGGATTATTTCCGATGCTATTTTTTTCTAAATCATGAAATGGCGTACCTGAATTCTCCTCATTTCTTCCATCATTTTATGCATCGCTAGCTGATCTTCTTTTTCTTTGACGATATGATCGAATACCTCTCTGTTTTTTGCTCTGATTTCTGTGTTCAAGTTGAACTTTTGTATTTCCGTCAAAGGTTTATCCATTTTCTTTGGTATAAACGGTTCTTTGACTAGTACTGTGGCAGGTCTAGCTTTGAATTGGCAAGTGATATTTTCACTGCTTTTCTGAAAATAAATGGCCTTCTTTTACAGTCCAACAAATAAATAAATGAAAAGAAACATAAAAATATATGTACATTTTTTTTATTACAGGCGGTTGCCTCGCAGTTGAGCCGACAAAACACAGGTGCTTTGAAAGTCTTTCAGCTTTTTTAGTAAAGAAATATTAGGGACGAAAAACTTCAATTCACAAGACTTTTACAATCCATATTATATAATAAATGAATGAATAAAACATCGAAATTATTCTTTCATTTTCGTCTTCAATATTATAGGTTATAAGCTTTTCATTGAGATTGGAGATACAAAACAAGAAAAATTGGAAAACGACAGGCCCAAAAGTTTCTGGAAAAAATTTCAGTTTTTTGCATACAATTAAGGAATTTATATCAAATATAACTTTCCTGGAGTATTTCAATAAACATAGAAGTGAGTGTTTTATTCTGAATAGAAAACTTGATATTTATATTAACACATGGGATTATTTCGAAATTCAATAAATCATCAGATGATAACAAAAACAGCCTGAATATTATAAAATTCAAATATAAAGTGAACAAATATATTCTGATGCAGAGGAATGATCATAGCTGACAGACTTTATGAATTTACTTTTATTTCTCTCTCTCTTCGCTGTTTTTTTTTTCTCCCTTCTTGATCACTATTTGCGATAGAAAATAAGCGTACGCCACTTATCGACGTTTTTGAAAGCTGTCAAAGCGGCCTGTGTAATTCGTCTTAATTGGTTCCCACTTGTTTTCCGCTCATAAGTGTTCAAATGTTGCCGTCAGGTGGAGCGACGTATTATCGCGAATATGAGTAGTGTTATTTTGAAACATGTAAGTTTTGTTCACTACTTGTAATTTCAATTATACCAACAGTCGATAATACTTCATGAATGAACTTATTCCAGGAATTACTGTATACTATAAAATTAATTGTACTTTATAATTTATATATTTTTGTATAAAATGTGTTGTGAAGAAAAATATCACCCAATAGCTGAAATGAATAAATAAATAAAAAATTGAAACAAAATTCATGTTTTTATTTTTATTCTGATAGCAAAAAATAGTATCGTCAGAAAATCCTTTTTTTTTTAAATTGATCATTGAAAAATGGTCGGTATTCGAAAAATAATAATTAAACACAAATGTGTTATTATGCCAACTTACCTAATTCCTATCTATCATACTAGACACTAAAACTTTGTGATTGTGATTTTCGGACATCACCTAGATGCAATGTTGAAATTGAAAAAAAATTAAGGCGTAAAACTCGGCGTAAAAATTGTTGAAAATATCACATTCTAATCCAGAATTGTCCCAAATATCTGCAAATGTAGGGATATAAAGAGTGATTGATTAAAAAATTCAGAACCAGAGCCATTTCTGGTGAAACTGGAAGTCACAGGAAAGTGAAGTCTCATTTTGATAAACCTAATAATATTGTATAATAGATTCGTTGACAACCGGTAGAGATAATAAGAGTTCAAATCAAGGTATGTGAGAATATACATACAGAATATTCCAGTCAAAAAACGACGTGTATACCGGGTGTAAAACGATCATGGTACACCAAACCATTTTGATGAACTCAATTTGGTGACAAATCAAGAAATTTTACATTTTTAACAGGATTAAATTTTTTTAGCATTACACCTATCGGATATGAGTACATCAGACTCGATAAGAATAGTCATGGCCTACTCAGATGGAAGATAAAAAATGAAATTAAAATCGTTATTGAAGTTTGAAATGTCACTTATGTGGTATCATTGGATTCAGAAAATGATGGAGAATTCGAAATTGCAATGATGTACAGGGTGTTCCATATGAAAATAAAAAGTAAGTGCCATTTCCGGAGAAACTGGAAGTGGAAAATAAAACCTGTTCATGTCAAAACAAGAAGTTTTCCAAGTGGACGGGTCATTCAAAATTTTATTCAATCATCTCTAAAGCTAAAGGAGAAAAAGGGGGTGTACCATGGTCCTGTTACATCCAGTATACATATGTATATGAAAATAATTTTGATAGGTAGAATTTACAACAGTGAATTCAAGAAGGCCTTCAGAAGATTTGTTGTATCCCATATTGTAAACGGGTCTATCTGTTTCAGAACCATTTCAGCCAAATAGACATCAAGGGACGCTTATTTTATTGAAAAATGCACCAAATGCAATCCACCTCAAAGGATAAAACAATCAACATCATACTTGATGTTTCCTGAACATTTTTATTCATTGGGTTTTCCTCATTGAATGGGTATTGAATATGATTCGATAATGCTAAATACTTACGGATTTGTCTGAACCAGTTAGGCTCCTCTGAGATTCAGATCTTTGGAAGCTGCCATGCTTCATGGTTGAATTTATATTTTTGGAAGCATTCAATATGGCTTTTGGAACAGGCCTCGCATGGAATTCTCGTGCCTTCTTTTCCTCCTCCAACACCTACAAATATGAATACTTCATAAAAAGTGATATTCTTTTCACAGGAAGGAAGGAATGATCGAAGTCATCTCCACAAATTTTAATGATATTGTTACATAATCATAAGGGACATGTTTTGGTCTTATAAAAGAACATCTTCAGCCTAATTGAAAGGTCTACAATACAAAAACAAATGATTCTTTTGTTCTGAACCCTGAAACTGAACTGATCAAAGTGAAACTTCATTTGTTCGTAAATAAACAGTTCGTGAATAAACAGTCCGTAACCATCAGAAGCATGCGCAGTTTCACGGAACATGGAAAATACCAACAGCTCTGTGAAACTGCGCATGCTCCTGATGATTTCGGACTAATTCTTTTTCGAACGAGAACAAACCTAGGTAGTGAAGGTGATGGAACTGAACTTCTGCATAATTGAGTTAGTTGTCAGGTTTTAGATGAAAGAAGATGATCAGATCAGTCCGTCTACTTAGTCAAATAGGTCAAGGTTATGATATCTCAATTTACTAGTCATTTTACATTCAGGAATATACAAGATGTACCTAAAATGTCTTTGTAAAAACTTACGACCTCAGACCAAAACAATTCTATACAAGCAAACTCACCTTAGTCTAAAGATATAATTTTCGAATCATTTTTGCTTCATAACTTTGAAACGGATGGTGAGATTTTACTCAAACTACCCAAACTAAGCAACTTTGTACTGAGGTAAGTTTTCTTGTATAGAAATGTTTTGGACTGAGGAATATAATATAATAGTATATTTATTCCATTCTCTGTTATAAACATTGCATTGCATCTCATATAAAAATAAATATATTTTATCAACATTTACAATGGAATAACATGAATAATCAGACAGATTCATATCTGGTATGAGACTATTCATGCGTTAGTAAACCCAAGTTATTGAAATAAACAACAGATTCAAAAATAATAATAATAAAAAAAGCTCATGAAGAGTACAAGTAGGACATGATGAAATAAATTAGTGAATGAGAAATCATTCACTCAGGTTTGATCTTCTCTTTACACGAGGATATGTTTCTTGACTTTAATTTTGAATTGGGTGATATTTGTGCAACTTTTGTTATCATCAGGTAATTTATTGAATTTTGAGATAGCTCCGAGAGTGAACTTTTTTTGACCAAGTGTAGAATTAGCAATTCCTCACCAACATGAACTTAGATTTGAGGTGTTTGTTGATAATATCGAAAGAAATTTTGAGAGTATTCATCAGATAGCGCTCTTCCAAAGAAAATGTATTTGTTTCTTCATAAAGTTGATTTGATGGGGTGTCATATGGAAGACAATACAGTACTTTTAATGTTTATACCGGGTGGGTCACGGTCGATGGCACCTTAGACGTTTACGGAGAACGGGACATAAGATCATTTTGAAAATTTGGTTACTCAAGTAATTGCTCCTGATCTATCGATCTAAAATGTTTTCAGCTCTGCGGCGTTGCCGCTTCTATCGAAAAGTAGCAACAACTTTGTTATTTTAAATGGAACACCCTGTATTTCATCGCATTTTCAGATTCTCTCTGAAGAGCTGATTTCATCGATGTATCACACTTGGGGTCTAGCGGAAATGATTACAGAGATATAGGGTGTGAAAAATCGACATTTTTCAACTTTAGGAATTTTTTTTGTCGAAACTATTCATTATTGGTCAAAACGGCTCACATGTCCCTATCCCAACTTTTGATCAACTATCTACTGACATTTAATTGAAACAAATACAGGGTGGTGCAGAATTCAGATTCTTGATCACCCAGTATATGTCCCAATTAAATATCAGTAGATAGTTAATCAAAAGTTGAGATAGGGACATGTAAGCCGTTTTGACCAATAATGAATAGTTTCGACAAAAAAAATTCCTTAAGTTGAAAAATGTCGATTTTTCACACCCTATATCTCTGTAATCATTTCCGCTAGACCCCAAGTGTGATATATCGATGAAATCAGCTCTTCAGAGAGAATCTGAAGATGTAATAAAATACAGGGTGTTCCATTCAAAATAACAAAGTTGTTGCTACTTTTCGATAGAAGCGGCAACGCCGCAGAGCTGAAAATATTTTAGATCGATAGATCAAGAGCAATTACTTGAGTAACCAAATTTTCAGAATGATCTTATGTCCCGTTCTCCGTAAACGTCTAAGGTGCCATCTACCGTGACCCACCCTGTATAGTACAGATATTTTGTTAAAATTATTCTTGGAACATGAACCCCAAATATTTATGAGATAGTTCATTTGACTAAGCAGTAAGTTTCTGTAAAGACCTTTTAGGGACACCCTGTATAATGAAAATACTGTCTGTAGGTTACAAGATATTAAATGGAGATCTTAAAGCACACATTGAAAAAACTTACATAATACCATAAAAAAATGTGAACATCAACTGACACTTGCGGAAAGAAAATATATCTCCGAATATAACAGCAAAGCACCACATTTATACGGACTTCCAAGAATACATAAACCAAATGTCCCATCAATATCAATCGTGAGTTCAATTGAATATCCATGCTAGAATGTGTGTTCAGGTAAAAGTAGAGTATCATTTGAAATAGTCCTCTTAGAGAAGCATCATAATATCACTGTTGATACAAATGACACTTTAGTCAGTTTTGATTTAGTAAGTTCATTCACAGATGATCCTATAGATGAAACTCTGCAAACAGTGAAACATAAATTAGAAGATAATGGAACTCTCATTGAATTGAAGCGATTTTGGAATTTTTGGAAATCATGCCTAATAACAATCATCTTCATTGATAAAATGGGTCATCAAATTGAAAACAAACCAATCTGAATTAATAAAACTGTCAATTCTAACACGAAAGAAGCCGGAAAAGGAACAATCTCTCAGTAACGACAAATGAACATAAGAAAATCTACAACATATGGCAGAATGGAATAACATTAAAATCATTGGTAAAGAAGATAACCAAAAGAGAAAAATCAAGAAATCTCCTTGCATTCTTCTGAATGGAGACAATAGCATTGCTTCCTGTTCAGTTCATATAAATAGAACAATACATGGTATTCACTACTAAAATCTGAACATAAAAATGGTGAATTCGATATTAACTTATGAAAACACTGTACCTTATGTGTTTGTTAACTTCACCATCTGTCACTGAGGAGTGTCAATACAAAAATCCGAAGATCATTCGACAAAAAAATATTTTCCATTTGTATGTTGAAAACGGGAGCAGCAGATTCGTTTCCAAAAACGCCCGAAATCATGTTGCGGTGCCGCTACGTTCATCTTGAAATAAATCCTATTCTTTTTTGTTATGTACATACCTTATGACTCATAATAAGATAAGGTATGCTCTTTTTTACACCACATTTTCATCATTGATGGAAGTGACGTCACTCTCTGATGCACCGAATTGTTGGAGTCATCAGTGTTCCGAGGATGAAAATATTGTTTATGTTGGGGAGTAGACGAGAAAATTCTCAACAACCTATATAAAAATCATTGCATCAAGTCATGATAATATGGATAAGGTGATTAATAGAATTCTCTGTTGGTACCTACTCAAGTTTCCTGAATGTTTGCACTAGTTTCTTGAAATTAATGATGGAAAAAGTAGTACCTACCACTCGAAATTTCTTAAATTTCTCTTGGTGTCAATAATGCAGCTAATCTTTTATTTTCATAATTTAGACTGATTTCGATTAATTCATCCATATTTTTTTGTAGGGCAAGTGGCAAACAGCTTTCTAATCCAATATTTAGTTTTAGTTTTTTTCGAGGTTATGCTGTCGCTGTAATTTCGGAAGCCAACGAAATTCCTCCACCATCTCTGTACATCGGTGGTTGACACAACAGTAATAAATGAACGCGTGGTTACGTCAAACTGGAATCCACCAAAGAATATATGAACACAGTTGGTGGATTGATGGCGCCACCGGTGAATAAAAGAACGTCCTTATATTTCATCAAAAAATCCTTAATCGTCGATTTGGCAACGGTTCCACAAGGGTCCTCAGAATGTGATTTCTTTTCCGCAGAGGAAATGATCACATTCAATCAATTCAATTTTTCGAAGTGGTATTCTTGACGACCATTCGCTTCGCAAAACGTATACGCTTGAAAACGTGCGATCGTGATGCGATCAGAGCATCCGGCACCACTGTAATATTTCACGAAAGCCATGAAATGGACCGTTGATTCACGTTCTGTGAATATTTGAAAAATTCCGCGCGAAGAATCAATTTTTTTTTATATTTTTTATAATGCATATGCTGTGTTGAATGAATCAAATCAATCTAAAAATTATCCACAGATGAAGTGGAAATGAATAATTTGATCAATAGATACATAATATACTATTCTTTATTCACATCAGTTATTATTCACACATAATAATCCAGTAAATAGAGATTCATTAGATTAGAAAAACATAAATATACAGCAGTAAATTAATAATAAATGATAATGTATAATAATCAGTATTTTCAGCTACATGTAACCTCCTCAGCATTGTTTGGACATATGAACTATTCCATATAAAAGCATCATTTGTATTACCAGGAAACCGAATTCACATAAACAATTTTCAAATTGTTGTCACAAATTAATTGTACATTTATTAAATGATAGTTTTTCTCTATTTACATAGATATTTTCAAGATGTTCATAACCATGCACTTTTGGTGGAAGAATAACTTTATGTGAGTGCAGTCAAACAGCTTATTACCCCTGGAAAATCATATTTTCTGTTGAATCTGCATAACAAAAATCACTTGAATAAAAGCCAATTAGGTACTTTGAATCTACGCTGTTCTTTAGCAGATTCAATTGGTTTATATTGGCAGGAAATTTGACGAATCTTCGGGAAATTTCAACTTTGTTCCAGAACCTCAACGATTTTGTTCACACGTCTTGAAGCATAAGACTGGGACACAGAAAAATTAAAATTGCAGCTCATGTGTATTTGGTAACATTCTCATGCAAAAAACCGTAAGGAAACTAACACAGTAAACAGCATAATGTGTATCACCTCTGTGATAGTTGGGTACCAACTTTTGTGGAGATATCCAAATCTTGAGCACGATGTGCAGGTCATGTAATAAAATCAGAGGTAATATTCATTAGGCATTGAACCTATTCTTTGGAGAGGCTAAACATTTTGATAAATTGGTTGTAACCCAAATCATCAGAGTGATTTCCACGCTACTGTATCTTCGCCAATCAATTTGTTCCGCATCTTCCATCACGTCAATCAACATCAACTGTACAAATTTCCCTTCAATTATATTTTGATGTTATTTACTATTTATTCAGATGATATGAAACTCAAAAAAGATTCATTAGAGTCCAAAATGGTTCGCCAATATAAATAAACAATAAAAATATTCAATGAAACACGTCACAAGTCAACAAAACGATCGAAAACATACAAAACGAGTGAAATAACGCGCTCGCTGTAAACGCTAGCTTTGAAAACGTACAATCCTCATATTTCACTGGTGAAGAATACCAAAACGTACGAAACTCTCGAAGTGCGCATACGCATCAAAAGTTCACTCGTCGAGAAAACGGCCCCAGAACTAACCTTCTCAATCAATTTCTGTCGTTTCTGTCTCAAACACATATCCCTCATCTCGAAACTGAAGGGCAATATGGTGGTACTCCTCGGCCGTACTGCCGGTTCCTCTTCCACGGGCTGGGGCTTGACAGGCTCCTTGGCCAGGTGCTTCATGAATTTCGGCGTCTGAGGTTCGGTGACGGGCAGCCTGTGGGTTTTCGGCTTCGGCGGTTCGTGCAGGGACTTGGGAACAGGGTTCGCATGGAATTCGTATTCTTTCTTGGGTGAATCAGGAACCTGTGAAGATAATGATAAGTCTTCGTTTCTGAAGAATGGAATCATTCTAGAGGGTTGGGATAAAGTATGGAAGAAAGTAAATACCAAAAGGAATATTCTCATATATAATACCACAAGTGATAATATTTTGCCGGAAATATTCGGTGATTGTTAGGACAGCCTGTTGCCTAGTAATTTCGTGAATGACATTGTTATCAAAACTACGAGCCGTAGGCGAGTAGTTTTGGATCAATGTCATGAGCGAAATTAGAGCAGCAAGCTGGAGTATGTCAATCGACGAATATTTCCAGGAAAAATAGTATCACGAGTTGTATTCGTATGACTATTTCATGATTGAATGAGACAATATATATATAAGAAATAGGAAACATAATTCAAGTATATTCCAACCCGAACTGCGAAGATTAACATAATGATTGTAATGAAATACAGAATTTACTTTTTTAGAAATTAACTACCTACTTATATTTATTCACAAAGTGTAATGTACAATTTTGATAAACAGTATTTTTTTTATTATCTTGGAGATGATTGCTCTCAAAAGAGTGTATACAATTAGTATCCAATTCAAACAACATAAATTGAATTTATGTGACATGGAATAATTAAAAAAAAGATATCGTCGCCGAGGGCTCGAACCATCGACCTTCGTATCCTCGCGCAACAACCCTAACAGTTGCGCTACATCAGCTAGTAATTATATCAGTCAGTCACAATAACTTGAGTAATTGAAGAAGATTACTTCAAAAAGGAATTTGAATTCTATTATTGTTGTGTCAGACCGTCAACAAATATGCAAACTTTTTAAATTACACATGAAACGTCCAGCCAGAATAAAATTGTCTCGCCTTCCGTACAAAATATCTCACTAACGCGAATTATAAGTATAAATAAAATAAAATAGGAACTTAGGTTATTGTCTCAGATTTGAATCCAAAGCAATCTTGACCAGACACGATGTCGACATTTTATCGCTAATAAACGACGTTAGTTGGTCACGTGTGGGTCAATTCGGCTTCTGTATTGGTAGAGCAATCCGATAAAATTTAATAGACAAAAAATATCGCTAGAATACAGAAGAAATCATGAAAATGGTCGATTCTGATTGGTTCTCGAGATCAAGAGTGGAATAGTCAGATATATTTTTTATGAACACGAAAAAAATTGATATATACCGGGTGTACCATTAAGCCTATCGAACGGCTTTATCCCAGAAACTATCAGTCCCACAGATTTAGGAAAAAAACTATCTTATGTAAAGCAGTCAAGAAAAATTCAACCAAAATATTTTTATTAAAATGACAGCTAGGTGGCGTAATACAGATTGAGAACTTAATAACTCCTTTTTCTTGAAAAAGTCAAATCCAAACGTAGGCATTTTTTAATGTATTCTGCATCTCCAAGTCAATACCTAAAACTTTTGTGAAATACTTCTTGTTCTAACTCTTCAAACAATGACAACAAAATAAAAACGGTATAAAAAAATCACCATAACTTCGGTTTGTCTCATCCGATTTAAATAAACTTTTGATCGTTTCATAGGTAATTCAAAGTAGAATAAGAATACGATTTTAAATATTTTGGCAAATTCCTCAGCAAACCACCAGACGTCGCTTTTCGTAATTGTTACCAATTATTGATGATTTCTTAGAAATTTTAAATGTAATGACATATTTTTTAATGAAGTGCCTTATTCTATATAACTATAATGGTTGAAATGTATTGCTAGTGGTGTAAAAAATGTAATATACACCTTCGTATTGAAGAATATTATTGCCACGGGACCAAATTCCCCTCGGTTGGAGCCTCGGGAAATAAACTCCGTCCCTGGGTAATATTGATATTCTTTACTACCTTGGTGTATAAATATCTATTAGTGAGTTCATTAGTAAACAGTGAAGCAATTTCAACAAACGGATTGTACACACTGAGTTCCTTACCTTTTTCAAAGGAGCTGTGAGCTTAAAAGGTCTTGGGATAGTTGATGGTTTCTTCTGTACTTGTACTGCCGGTTTCATTGGTCCATTGAGGATTCTTTTATTGACCGGGTGGGCCTTTATTTTGAATCTGTAGATTCAAATATATAGAGCTGATTAAACAAACAAATGAGCATTAAATCAAAAATTTTATAAGGAAATTGAATGACCAAAATAACATATAAGCGAGAAACTAATTTCTAGACCAGTGGTCGCCCACCTGTCGACCGCCAACTAGAGTTACCCAGATTATGTATGATTTTCTATTTATTTATTCATTTATTACCACTATAGGAATTTTTTTATTTCCAAGAACTTAATGCTGAAGCCAAAAAAAAAGCAACACACTGGCGAAAACTTCCAGTACTGCGACAGGCTAAAGATCTCGGCAATTTCAACCGAGCAAGATCGAAGACACTGATTAACCTCAGAATAATAGTAGGGGAGGCAAAGAGGCTGAATAGGGATTTACTCAAGCGTCGTGGGGACGTATCAGATGGTGAAGATTATATAAGAAAATAAAAAATGTTTATATGATATATGACCTTTTACTGATTGGGAGAGCGTGTACAGGTGTTCAAAAATGTAAAAAAAAAACAGTCACATAGAAATACTCGTGCGCACCAGATATAAATAGTGTATGCGCCCCACGTGTTTCTGATAACCGAAAAATATTAATCTGCCGATTTGCATGGTGGGGGTGGCCGTACGAAGGAATTGAGAATAGGCGAAAAAAATTATTCAAGAGCGTCAGATATTGAGAAGGGACGTTAAGCCCTAACTAGGTTGTCATTTAGAAGGACAATGGTTGAACCATGAAATGATAATCTTACACACTGCCCACAAGTGATCCAGCACTTACTTTTGCGCTTCCTCAAAATCTTGTTTTTCCTGCTGATCCTGAGATAACACATTCGTTGGTCGATTTCGTTTTGTAGATATCAAGTGCGGAGATTGTGGAATGGTTGTTTTCAACTTGGGATGAAATTTGAAAGCATCGTCTTGTTTTGGTTTACGTCGAAACCGTTCTGGAGTGGAATTTTGCAATTTGTTCAAATATTCTGCCACGGGCATATAGTTATTTCTATTCAGTTCTTGGTTCGAAGAAAACTGACGCCGCTTGGGTTGGGCTAGTCTATCAATGGATTCCTGGAAATGAATCATAGGAGGAATATAATTAGGGTTTTTATGCAAACTGATGTCAAACGTTGATATTCCCGCATTCTGCATGGGATATTTCAGTAGAATCAAAAATCCGAATATGGTTAAAGGAGAGGAAAGTTGCTACAACAAAATACTAGGACGAATGATCCTCAATGAAAAAGTGATGAAAACTCAGTAATTTCGAAATAGAATAACTAATTCAAAATTGGATCAACAGGATTTTGCCCAACACATAGACATAACTACCTAGATATTTAAAAGAAATTCGAAATTGGACGTTTGTATGATCTCAAAATGTATCCTCAATAGGGTTCTTTCCGATTTTAATATTTGTAATAATAATAATAATAATAATAATAATAATAATAATAGGGGCATTATTTTTAATATCCTCGGCGAAGTCCAGCAAAGCTGTTCTACTTAACCTAGTACCATATTACATTAGAATTGAATAACTACCTACATAGTAGCTCAAATATAAAACTAGCTTAATAACTAAATACAAGTATAACATTATTATCTATTCTAATATACGGTTTATTAGCGAAAGAAAAATAATTTTGTTGACTTTTTGATGTGAAACATTGATTTATTCTTGAGCTCTTGTGGGAGAGAATTGTATATTTTACCTGCATTATAGGAGAAGCATTTCTCATATAAAGCTGTTCTATGCATAGGCATCACAAGAAGACCTGTATTTCCAGTGGAACGATTATGAATTTCCGAAGTGAATGTTGATCGATGATGAATATAAATAGGATTTTTTTTTTAATACTTTGTGAACCAAGCAGGCAATATGCAATTTACGCCTATTGAACATATTGAGCCATCCCAATTCTCTAAGTTTATGAGAAATGTAGTCTCTGGTTCTGAGTGAGTAGATGAATCTGATACAGGAATTCTGAATTCTTTGAATTCTCGCTGATGAAACTGCATCCAAGCATGGACTAGAGTCCCTGTATGTATTTGACACTTTTGCTGTAATAAGAGTACGGACACTATGACAAGCAGTGACAGAAGGCATAACCCTAAAAAATTTGAAATGACATGAACAATTTGGCGGGCACTGACAGTTCATGAACTTACATGACATTAAATTATTTGAAAATTCAGGTTTTCAAAAATTAAAATGTCTAATTGTGTAGTGGAGAATTGCAAAAATGGAAGTGAGTCCTTTCATTTATTCCATTTCCCCCATTCTAACCAACAAGTATATATACCCTTTGTTAAGTATATCGAGAAATACTTTCAACAAATTGATTTACAAACTATGACCCCTTTTCGCCAGTGAGATGATACGCCACTTCTTTATGAAAATAAAGACAGAGAAAGATATATGGATGTACCCTTCACCGCGGCAGTAGAGGATAGCAGATCCGAAGTGCATGGAAAAGCATATCCATGTCTTTGTTCAAGTCATTTTGAGAATTTGGGGTTATGCCTCCCGTCACTGCTTGTCATAGTGTCCGTACTCTTATTACAACAAAACTGACAAATATATACAGGGAATTATACATACAGGGACTCTAGCATGGACCATATACTAAATCAGCATAATTAGTATGACTCAATACTAGTGATTCACATAGTTGCTCTCTCAAGAGTACATTGATGAAAGACCTACTGCGATATAGATTATTCAATGAAGAGTAACACTTACTAACAATAGATTTAACCTGTGCCTTGAATCTCAGCTTACAATCAATAAGAATTCCTAGACTTTTCACTACATCACAGAGCTCTACTCTAACAGTAGCTATTTCAATTTTCAAATCAGATTTCACCTCTACTGATACATTACCAAAACATATAGCTTGGGTCTTTTTTGGGTTAATCTTCAGCCCATACTTATTAGAGTATGCAACTATGTTCTCCAAAGTTTGATTTATATCTAATCATGCAGTATTCAACTCAGCAGCAAGGAAACTTTTATAAACTTGGGTGTCGTCAGTAAACTGATCAATTGTAGCAATTTACAGAATTCCTATTGAGGTCCATAGTATATATTAAAAATAGAAGAGGTCCGAGTATTGAGCCCTGCGGTACACCTTTATCAACTAATCTAGAGCTGGACTGCACATTGTCAATTAACACATATTGGCTCCTATGAGAAAGATAGCTCCGTAATAGTTTGACTACCCTATTAGAAAAGCCATAATAGTTAATTTTAGCCAAAAGGAGTTCTATGCCTAAAGTGTCAAAGGCCTTACTATAGTCTAATAGAACTAGTGTTGTAATTTTCTCCTCATCTATTGCTCGTATGATATCATCCAACATTTTCAATCATATACAGATGTAGTAAAAAATTCCCAGCATTTAGGATATTTAATGCGATTTGAAAGAAGTTACTGTAGCTGAAGTAGGAAGAAGGGAGACATCAATGTAGGGTGGCCAAGGGCGTCGATATGGGGGGAGGGGGCAATGAAGGTAGTTACCCCCCTCCAGAATAATAATTCGTAAGGAAGGTAATAAATAGGGTTGGGCATATGTGTGGTAACAACTTATTCTTGAGTAAACCGTATAATTTTTTCCGTTCTACACAGTGGCTGTTAGCTATCATATTATTTTGGGCAAATATGAAACAGTACTTATCCTTTTAAATGGATCACCCTGTATAATATTGCAATTTCAGATTCTCCCTGAGAAGCTGTTCTTATCAATGCATCACACTTGGGGTCTAGCGAAAATGATTACAAAGACATAGGCCAATAATAGGGTGCTCAAAATCGAGATTTTTCAACTGTACGATTCGAAAATATTCATCATTGGTCAAAACGGCTTGCATGTCCCTATCTCAACTTCTGATTTACTATCTACAGACATTTAATTGGAACAGATACAGGGTGATCAGAATTCTGAATCTTGAACCACCCTGTATTCGTTCAAATTAAATGTCAGTAGATATTTAATCACAAGTTAAGATAGGGACATATGAGCCGCCCTGACCAATAATGAATAGTTTCAACACAAAAAATCCAAAAATTGAAAAATCTCGATTTTGAACACCATATATCTCTGTAATATTTCCCGTTAGACCCCATGTGTGATGCATTGATGAAAGCAGCTCTTCGGGGGACATCTGTAATTGCAATTATAGACAGGGTGAATCTTTTAATGATACTGCTGACTGCGCAATATTTACAACAATATGATAGCTACATCACACTGTTCTACCACTAACCAAACCGATTTTTTAAACGCCTCGACACGTGTTTCGCTAACTAATTTAGCATCTTCAGGAAAAGATTAAAACAGTTTTAATCTTCTCCTGAAGATGCGAACATAGTTAGCGAAACACGTGTCGAGGCGTTTAAAAAATCGGTTTGGTTAGTGGTAAAACAGTGTAGTGAATTATCGTGCCAAAGGTTCCAGTCTTCGAAATAATATGATAGCTACCACGAATAAACAATGGCCACTGTGAGGAACAAAAAAAATTTCTCGATAGAAAAAAAAAACTTCTGGCTTATTCAGAAATAAGGTGTTTCCACAATGCCCAAACCTGTATATAAAAGACATTTATAGATGTTTTGATTTGTGATCTGAAAAAGTTTACTGATTTGTAATGGACTGTAGTTTTCTTTTTATTTTTATTTTAATCACGCTGAATCAATCGCGGGAAAGTACTTCCTACCTTAAACAGTTGAAATCTGCACCATTCCAGGGAATCCAGGTTCCAGGGCTGCTCCAGAAGTGGAGTTTTAATATGCGAACGCGGTGCACCGAAAAACGCGGGTTTTAAATCACTAGAATTGGTTTTCTATCGATTTTTATTTTAGGAGTCAACTGCGCGCTCGATCCCGCTCGTTGCGTCTGTGTCGTTCTCTCTTCTCCGGCAGGGGTCGCTGTCCACAGGATTGGAAGTAACTTTCATGAACGCGAAACGGCGGTTAAATTTAAAAAGTGATTCTTTGTGCACCAAATATATGTATATATGAATATATATCAAATAACCATATGAATACTATACAAACTAAAACTAGACAAAAAGAAGGGTGAAAACGTTCTTGAACATTCTCCCCACCTTTTTGTTAAATGCATCATTAGAACACCGTAGGAAGGTCGGCGACCTTTCACTTTTCTATCGATACTTCCACGGGAAATGTTCTTCGGAAATCTCTGCTATCATCCCTTCACTAGCAATACCAATCAGACGAACTAGACAAGCCCAGTCAGCACATCCTTTCGTTGTCAACCTCGAAAGATGTCGAACAGCACTTTATCAAGACTCCTTCATCCATAGAACGGCTAGGCTCTGGAATTCATTGCCTGTGGAAGTGTTCCCAACAACATATAATCTCCAAAAGTTCAAAAAAAATTCCAATACCTACCTCCTGTCCCTATCCTCCCTAGGAACGCACGATGTTCTTCGAACATTATAGGGATTCCCTCTCGTGCGCTCCAAGCGATAAAAAAAAAAAAAAAAAAAAAAAAAACTAAAGAGGTGGGAACGGACAAAGTTTGACCAAAGGCCGTTTATAGGTCCCGGAACTTGTGTGAACCGTCGCCACACGAGCCACACCGTCCTTACCAGGATGTAGTTCGGTGATTCGCGCTGTACGCCACTGCAAGGGAGGAACATTTTCATGTTTTATTAAAACTAGATCCCCAGGTTTGACGATTGATTCTGGTGAATCCCATTTATAGCGGTTTTGTAGATTGGTCAGATACTCGTGATGCCATCGGGCCCAGAAATCTGCGTGCATCCTCTGAAGGAGCTGCCATCTGTTCAAGCGATTGAGACTCAAATGCGACAAATCGGGGTCTGGTAAACAGGTAAGAGGCTCGGTTGTTAAAAAATGACCAGGCGTGAGGACAGATAAATCGCGAGGGTCTGTGCTCAAGGGGCAGAGCGGCCGAGAATTTAACATGGATTCGATTTGAGTGATCACCGTGTATAATTCTTCAAAAGTGAGAATCTGTGATCCGATCACACGTGCTAAATGCGTTTTCAAAGATTTAACGCCAGCTTCCACCAATCCGGAAAA